ATCAAAAGTATCTTAAAGTAAGTTTTTTCAGTATAGAAGAGTGATTGAGCATGGATTCTGGAGTCAGACTCCTGGGTACTGAATCCTACCTTGGGTACTTTTTAGTTCTGGATCTTGGGCAAGTTATTTAACCTTTTTGCACCTCATCTTTAAACTGGAAATAATAGCACCTAACTTAAAGGAATGTTATGGAGAGTAAAATGAATCATTATATATAAGTCCTTCACATACTACTGGCACATAGTGTTATTAGCTTCCAATTATTATTTTTAAATAACTCTATCCACAAGAAAGATTGGAAGTGCTTTACATTATGAAACAGAATCCACAGGTCAAGTATAGAATGACAAGGTGCAACAGCATGGCAAACTAAATGAGTAGATTTAATAAAACTTGCAGAACAGAGACTTGGAAGTCAGCCTTTACTCCAGTGGTTCTCAGAGTTAGGTTCCCCGGGGCCAGCAACTTTAGCATCATCTGGGAACTTGTTAGAATTTCAAATTCTTGGGTCACACTCTATACCTACTGAAATCAGAAACTCTGGGGATGGGGTCGCAATCTGTATTTTAACAAGCCCTCCAGGTGATCCTGATGCTCGCTAAAGTTTGTGAACCACACCTTTCCGCTGAACGTCTACGTCTAATCAGACTTGAAGGCCTGCTAATTCTCCTAAGTTGGTCCCCATCTCTTAGGCCTCAGCCACAGCCACATTTTTAGCTCCTTACCATCTCACTTAAATGACTCTAGCAGCCTTCACCGGCTCTTCCTGCCTTGCCTGGTTTCCTCCTAAAGCAATCCTCCAAATCACCACCATTAAGATCTTTCTTACACACAAACACAAATACTTCACTCTTTTGCCCACAGACCTAAACTCTAGTCACAGTGAATTACTTCAATACTTGCTGCTAGCTAGTACACTATACCGTGTCCTACCCCTTTGTCTTTTATACATAGCCATGGCCTCTGCCCAGAACGCCCTGTCCCTTCATCTGTGCAGCAAACTTTTCAAAAACTACTCTTTGCCTACCTTTTTATGTACTTTCCAGAGTTCTACTAGCACAAATTTTCATTTTTGCAACCTTTGTGATTTAAAAATTTAAAAAATCCTATGATTACATAGGAGAATGAATTAGAAAGTGTTTTATAAGATGTCATGTGCTATGTAGTAGGTCTATTTCATCAATCAAGAGTAGAGATCACATGGATTATTTTTTTATGATATTTCTCCTCTGGCTTCACCCCTTTAACAGAAATAGCAAGTAGTGGTTAAAACTCTGGAGTCAGCTCCCTGAATTCAAAAGTGGCTAGCTCTGCCACTTACTAGCTGCATAATAATGGCTTAGGGCACCTCTTCTGTAAAATGGAGACAGTGATGGTTATTGTTATTACACACACACACACACACACAAATTAGAGTTACTGCTGTTGAGGATTAAATGAACTAATGTATGTAAAGCACTAAGGATCCTGCCTGGTGCTTAACATGTTATTTGTTGTTATTATTTATCATGTCCTATTCCTAGCATTTCCTAGGAGCAAACTTTTTCACACAAAATGAGACAAAGCATGGTAAACTGGAAAGAGTATCATGTTTTAGAATCAGAGAGACCAGAGTTCAATTCCTGGCGCGTCTACTTATTAGCCCTATGATCCGAAGCACATTATTTTAATTTTTTGAGCCTCAGTTTACCCATTTCAAAATAGAGGCTATTAATATTACTACTTAGGGCTGTTGTAAAGATCAAACAAGAAAACATACATAAAGTGCTTAGTTTAGTGCTTCACACACAACATGTATCCAATAACCAATAGCTTTTTTCTTTTTTTTTTTGGAGATATCATTAGTTTATTAGAAATGGATATTATTTACACGGAAAGATTTCAGAACTTACTTCAGTGGAATGTGCAGCTTCCTTCACATGAAAATCATTTCAACAATGACTTAGTCTACATACTTTCTGAGAATGTTACCATCTCTAAATAAAGAGATAATCCTTGTCATGTAGAATTGCTCTGGTGCCTCTATATTCTGGGAGAAGAACTTTATCTCCAACTTTCACACTAACTGGTTGAATCTCTCCGCCTTTCCTTTAGAGCCTGATCCAACAGCTACTACTGTGGCTTGCAGTATTTTTCCTTGAGATTTTTCTGGAAGCATGATGCCTCTCCTTTGGTTACAGTTTCAGCTGCACTCCTTTCAACTAAAACTTGGTCAAAGAGGGAAAGAAACTTTCTAAATGCCTGTCCTGCCATACTCAACTTTTGCGCTGCTGCCACAAGGAAACCAATAGCTATTTTTACTACTACTAATAACATGGCAGACTTTGTTTGATTAAAATATGTAATATTAAAAAGCTGCCAAAGTCAAATCCTTCAGAATGATCCTATGAGTTAAGTATGATATTCATTAGATGATGGAAATGAGGCTCAGGGAGGTTAGATAAGTTTCTCAAAGTCATCTTTCTCAAAAATGGTAGACTAGGGATTCTATCCCAGGACTGTAAAGAATTTTTTATACCATGGTGCCCTCCTAAGATCCATGTCACAAATCCTCACTCAACAAATATATACAAACCATCTGTGTTTCAGGCACTGTCTCTATGCATATACATTTTCCATCTTTCTTTCACAGAAGCAGGACAGTAACTAAAAATAATAGCAAACATTTATTATTTATTCTACACCAGGCACTGCCTCAAGCACCTTACACATATTAATCTGTGCTGATTGTATACCTACCCCCCTTGGACATAGCATGGACATAACAGAGAACTGCAAAACTCCATTTCAAATAGAATGTATGGATAGTATGCTTTATTGTTACTTAAAGTTTATTGTTCTCATAATTACAGGCTACAATTTAGAAGTTTGAAACAGAAGAGAAATTCTATAAAGAGAGCCCAACTAAACTTTAACAAGTATGTAGAAGGTGGTTAAAACTTTGTAAGTAGTGCCACTGAGCTCTCAGGAATACTTGTCTGTCCTTTGAAAGCACAGGCTCTGCAGCCAGAGTCAACGACGTAAAATGGAATCACAAATGACGCTATAACATTCATCCTCCACAAGTGAGCATGGAGAGAAAGAGCGATATATATATTTATATAATATATACATACTTTAATATATTGGTCCACTGAGTATACATATTTTAACAAAAGATAAGAATCTGTGTAATCCAGTTAAACATACATAAGATTAGGGTACACTTATTACATTGAAGGTTGGTGTTTATAAGTTACAGATATTTAATATTTTCCAGAGTGGTTTTTTAATTAAAAAAAAAAATATTTTAAAAGCATTTCAAACATCTGTTCATTTTCCCAGTGCAAAAGAAGGTTATTCAAGTCAACTTACCTTTATCCTGAAGTATAAGGGGAAGGGAAAAAAAAACCCCAAAACGACTACCTATCACAGCTCCCAACACTACCTTCTCAATCAACTTTTTGCAGTATATCCACAGGCCACTGGATTAGTTTATCAAAATTAAAGCCTTATGATGATTCAGCCCTTGCTTCATATGTAGGACTTTTATGCTGAAATGTTTCAATTTATAAAAATAGAAAAAAGTTAGCTGTGCAAGAATGGTGTAAGTTTGCTTTAAACTGTAGCAGTCCAATTGGGTGTGGAGAGGAAAAAAAAGCACCATTTCAAGATGAAATGAATTGGATATTTTGGAATTTATTCACAGACTAGGCAATAAATTACTCTGATTAACACAGATCAATACCACCTTGACTTGGTGACCACAGAGACTTTTAATTATTTTGTAGGTGCATTTTTCTTTATCTTGGTATTTAATACATTACCTAAGTCAGTAACTGATGTTAAAAGAAAACTAAGGTTATTCCACAGTTTACAGCCTACATCACAGTCTATTTCAAATTCAGCTTGCCTGCTAGGTCAGTTTTACAGGAGATAGACTTTTAACACATGAAGAGCTTTGACAATTTGACAGGTCTCTTCTCTCTCAATTAAAAAAAAAAACAAGATTTTTTTTGCTAGCCTGCCAATTTTATAGGTAAAAACCAGGAAGAGAACAAACTATTTTAAAACACAAAGATGGACAAAAAGCAATAATACGATTTAATACACGTCACTTTTCCCATTTGTATTCAGTGAAAGTTTTTACATTTCAAGTAAGTGAGCCTTCATTAAAGAAAACAAAAAAATATGTACAAAAGTTTAAAGTACCTTCCAGTTCTCACATGCTAAAGTTTCTTCTGCAAAGTACAAAAATAAACCTACCATGAACTAAAGGGGACAGTGCCAGAGCAATGGCAGAACAATTGCTATGTTAGATTTTTGCTTACCTTACACTGATGGGTATAGTTAAGTGATACATTTTCTCCACTGTCTAGCACTTAAAATTATGGAGAGGTATCTGTTCATCTAAAATTCTTTAAATCCAGAGAAAATTTTTTAAAAATGTGTTTCACATATGAGGCTTTAACATTTTTATTTAGGAAAAGATTGAGTCTGAAGCTATAATGGTTCAACCTTAAAGCATCCCTTTTTCAATAGTGGAGTCAATTTATGCAAAGTATGTTTCCTATAAAAACGAATTGAACAGTATTTTAATTATAAGGAAATACAAACATATGCTTTAAACTAGCCAATCTGCACTATCATAAAAGAAATAGGATGTTCTTTCCCTTCCCCTCCCTCAACTATTCAAAGAATACTGCAAACTTTAAGAAACCCACTGGCTATCATCAGAGTAACTACAGAACAAGGGTAGCATAGGGATGAAACTATTTCTCTATATTCCAGAAGGCAGAAGCTTGGGTACTCTAGCTTTACAAGTAAAAGGAGCACAGGCAGGCAGAAGCTCACAGTAAATACACATCAGAACAGGAGCACAGGTGATGTTGTCTGACTGGGTTACTGCTTTGATGGGGGCGGGGTGGGGTGGGGCGGGGCCAGGAAGACAAATCTGAAATGGAGTAAGAAACAAAAACAAACTTTTGTCACATTTATAGGAATCTCAAACCTTTTGTATTCCCATGCTCATAGGTAGTTTTGATACACACTGTAAAGAGCTTCAGTATTCAGGAAGAAGAATATTGTATGGTTGACAAAGGACAGGCGAATTCTTCATGCTTCTGATATCTCAGATTTGCTGAGTGCGATAGCCAGTTCTAAGTCTTCCTGCTCTTGCTGATTTAGTCGGGCAAGCCTCTGCTCTTCCTCTCTCTCACTTTCCCTCTTGGCCCATTCAATCATATCTTCTTCAGAGGGATACTGTCATTTAAAAGATGGATGAACAAATATGTAAGTTAATGAGTAAAACAAAAAGAAAAGAAGGAAAATAATTATTACAAAGAACATTCACTACTTGTTTCACCTACAGGACTCTGGGAATAGTCTTATCCATTACTTGTTAATTTTTTTTCCCTGAAAACACATTTAGTTTTACCAGTTATTAAATGTGGTTTAATTTTAAAAATTATTGTAGTCTACTGATAGAAAGTCTATAAAACTGGGGCGCCTGGGTGGCTCAGTTGTTAAGCATCTGCCTTTGGCTCAGGTCATGGTCCCAGGGTCCTGGGATTGAGCCCCGCATCGGGCTCCCCGCTCTGCGGGAAGCCTGCTTCTCTCTCTCTTCCCACTGCTTGTGTTCCCTCACTCGCTGTGTCTCTCTCTGTCAAGTAAATAAATAAAATCTTTAAAAAAAGAAAAAAAAAGTCTGTAAAACTAAACATTAAATCACTTTTAGAAAGTAGAAATGCTTAAAGTGAATTAGGATATTTACCAACGGGAGGGTTAGCCTTTTAATCTAATGTAACATTTACTACTTCAACTTCAGGGAGCATCCTTACATGATCAATCACTTCAACTTAATCCCACTGGTGATTTCCTACCTTATCCTTGCTCTCCGGTACAGAAAAACTATGTAGCAAAGAATATACTGATTTTGCTATACATGAAACAAGAAGTACTGGGTATAATAAACAAGATGTGGACCAAATTATTTTTTAATGCATTATAAAGATTTTTGCAGGCACTGAGAACTTTTTGACTTGATCTAAATAAAACCATACACTTAACATCAATAAAACCGTAAACCTTAATGTTACATCAGGGAAATATTTTTGTCTAACTAAAACAGCAATGTTGAGAGACACTAAATAAAAAAATTTTACTTGGTTTGAAGTCCTGTCATATAGAGGAATACCACAACGGGATGAAATGAAAAAATTTATTTTAGTCAGCTCTGGGAGAATGCAGGGTAAATATGGAAGGTTAGTAAATTAGAACCGTCCAAATAATTAAAGACTGTTTAGCTCTTTTTTAAAAAAGTATTTTATTTATTTATTTGACAGAGAGAGACATAGCAAGAGCAGGAACACAAGCAGGGGGAGTGGGAGAGGGAGAAGCAGGCTTCCCGCCAAGCAGGGAGCCCGATGCGGGGCTCGATCCCAGAACCCTGGGATCATGACCTGAGCCAAAGGCAGACGCTTAACCGACTGAGCCACCCAGGCGCCCCAAGACTGTTTAGCTCTTGCCAACTGTATTTACTTCATAAAATCGACATTTACATTTTAAAAACGCTACTATATAAAAACCAGAGTTTTGCTTTCTATTCAAAGATCCCTGGCTTTATCCCCTCATATAATAGTTACTGACAGGTCTCCCGAAATCATCAAAACTTTATACACAAACAAACATAAACAATTACAAATACACAAGCTCATTATTGCCATTATTCATCCAGACAAATGACTCTCTAATGGCCCATCATCCGTAACAATTTGCAAAATAGTAACTGTCAAGATTTTATTTATATTGTTTACTAAGAATAAGAGAAGGGTTTGCAAAACAACTGGTATACACATCACAAGGACTAAGACTACTAAAATTGTTTGTGCAATGGAACAATGTCAGAAGCATCAAAACAGAAAAAAATTCTGGTTGGGGAGGAATAAAGATCATTTTTAGTAAGTTGGTAAATTTAGTTGAAAATGATGCAAATTTGGCAGACTCCAAAGTAATCATTGAAAACTCTTTAAACTCTAAATGGAAAGATTTTTCCCCCAAACAGCCCATTCACAGTACTTACAGCACTGAAGTTAGCAAAATTGCTTGGGTCAGCCTCTTTATTGGTAGTGGTAGTAGTAGTAGAAGTGAATGAATCGCAAAACATATCAGGATCTTTTTCTTTGGGGCTATCATTGTCTGGGAAAGGCTGAAATGGATCATTCAGTTTAAAAGGATCAGAAGAATCCAATTTGTTGATGGGTCTTTTCCCTGGATCAAAATCGTTACAATTAACCAGCAAATAGGGCAAACAAACACACAAGAACATGAACACAGACAGCACTAAAGAAGTGGGGTTGGGGGAATGGAGGTAAGTGCCTAAAATATACATTCTTAGTATGGTCTCAAATGACTACATCAACAGTCTGTCCTCAAAATTTTCACACACAATCTCTCAAATACATTCCAGCTCTATGTAGCTAAATGAAAAAATAGCAAAGGGGAAGGGAACCGGCCAGGAATCATATTTTTGCCCAGAGTGTAAACCTTGTCTTCCCCAAAGCAGTATGTTCCCAAAGAGAGGGAGAGGGTGAAACAGGACGAGGGTGACAAAAATAAAGACAGAAATGGCCTCTGCTGTTGTAACCTCAGCCTGACACAGCTGTCCACCAGTGGCACACTAAGGGCAAATGACCTTTAAAAAATGACCATATTCTTCTGATTTTTGTCTCTAGATCTATATATAACACCTGGGAACACGATTAAGAATTACCTTGAAAAACCTCACCCACTTTTTGCCATCTACAATATTTCTAATTGAAGAATAAAGAGAATGTTTTGAAGTCTGGGGTCTAAATCTTTGTGGTTGTGGATAAACTCATATTTGACCAAACAACAGTGTACCCTTGCTGAACTCATCACCATTCTCAAGTTCTCCAATTTTAAAGTCTTAACTTAGTACTTCTTGAAAGAAAATGATAAATATACGTGTTAAAATATTTTCAAATATGCACTTTTCCTAAATTGTGTTAAACTGGTAATAGCAATTATAACAGTCTTTCCATGAGCGTAGCAGCTTATAAAAGATGTTCATACCTCATTAGATCCTTCCAACATTCCTGGGAAGGTAGGCAAATTAGAGTTACTGCCACCATCTAACAGCTCAGACAGCTGAGGCCCAAACATATGAAATTACACACTCAAAATCACAGAGCTAGTCTGAGGACATCCAGAATTAACACCCAGATCTTTAAGCTCCCAGTCCAGTACTCTCTCCAACAAATCATCCTTTTTTCCTTAATACTACTATAGTGATATATACTCACTTTGCTGAAGACCCTTAGATTTACTTAACATACTAGTATATTATTTTACTTAGGATTTTAAAAATAACTTTGCTATTGGCATCATACACGTATAAAACTTAAATGAGCAAATTGACTCATTTTTTATTTAAAAAAAATTAATTCCAGTATAGTTAACATACAGTGTTATATTGGTTCCAGATATATAATACAGTGATTCAACAATTGTGTACATTACTCAGTGCTCATCATGGTAAGTGCACTCTTAATCCCCTTCACCTATTTCACCCACCGCCCACTCACCACCCTTCTTGTAGCCACCAGTTTGTTTTCTATACTTAAAAGTCTATTTTTTGGTTTGCTTTGTCTCTTTTTTTCTTTATCCATTTGTTTTGTTGCTTAAATCCCACATATGAGTGAAATCATATGGTATTCATCTTTCTTTGACTTATTTCACTTAGCATTATACTCTCTAGATCCATCCATGTTATTGTAAATGGCAAGATCTCACTCTTTTTATGGCTGAGTGATATTCCATTCCACACACACACCATTCATCTATTGATGGACACTTACTTGGGCTGCTTCCATAATTTGGCTACTATAAATAATGCTGCTATAAACATGTATCCCTTTGAATTAGTATTTTTGTATTCTTTGGGTAAATACCCAGTAGTGAGACTGCTAGATCCTAGGACAGTTCTATTTTTAACTTCCTGAGGAAACTCCATACTGTTTTCCAGACTGGCCACATTAGTCTGAATTCCCACCACTAGAGTATGAAGGTTCCCATTTTCCTATAACCTCACCAACACTTGTTATTTCTTGTGTTTTTAATTTTAGCCATTCTGACAGTTGTGAGGCGGTATCTCATTGTAGTTTTGATTTGCATTTCCCTGATGATAAGTAATGTTGAGCATCTTTTCATGTGTCTGTTGGCCATTTGTATGCTTTTTTGGAGAAATGTCTGTTCATGTCTTCTGCCTTTTTTTTTTTTGTGCTATGGTGAGCGCTGTGAATTGTGTAAGACTGATGAATCATAGATCTTAGATCTTCTGCCCATTTTTTAGTTAGATTGTTGGCTAATTTGTTTTTTAATATATTCTGACAACCTTAGCCTCTGGCAATATATGATATAGGCTACTTACCTTAAGAGATAGAAGTCACTTAATTTGTTTACCTTATTTTTCAACAGATAATTGAGTATTAACAATTGTACACTTTAAGTCAAAAAAGAGAAAAATTATCTGCCCAAGAATTACCCCAGGGAGGTGATTATGAAAGGCAAGCATAAAAATCTGTAACTACTGTGGCTAAAAATTTACCAAGGAATGATACATGACTATTAAAATAACCATGTATCAGATGTATCTTCTCACAGAACAGTCTAGCAGCACTACACCTGCTCAGGGGATTGCCCTGTTAGCCACTTCTCATGAACTTACTATCTTTGTTAAAAACAAAACACTAAAAGCATTAAGAATGTGTTCCTGGACAAAAAAATTACTTTTATAAAATAAAGGAGTCTCTTATTAGGTAAATAAAATATTATTTTCCTTCAAGAAAAACAATACTTTCTTTTAAATTGCTATGTTGCTGAATTCTGGATACCAAAAAGGCCATATATTTTCACATTAAAAGATTTAAGGAACACTTCACATTGGTCAGGAAAAGAACGGGACTTCAAATTAATCTTTTCTTACAGAAATTAATTTAAAGCACCAAAATGAAGGAAACTGTTGTGCAAATGGTAATCAATGAGTTTCCAGAAAGCAAGCCATTTCACTGATACTGTCCTCTTTTCATTTACTGCCCTCTCTAAAATGATTTAAAAAGAAATGAGCTCTTGCCAGAAAAGGGGTTCATGTTACACATACTGGCCTTTTAGGCACATGTCTGTCATTCTGTACTGAGGTGAGAAAAGATGACAGTAGCAGGCTTCTGCCATGGTTTTTGACTTGTTTTGTTGAAAGCCCTTTATTTAAGTCTATAAGGCTCACACCAGTATTTTTCAGAAAGAGAAAAAGCATCTCAGTTGATTTAGGAAAGATACCAACTCTCATACCAGGTGGTGGTGGGCAGGGTCTTGTTGGAGTTCCAATCTTTGGTGGCAGTGCTGGAGGTACATCTTCACTTTTGACCGATGTTTCCTCAGGCACATTTTTTTTAATGACCACATTGTTGACAGAGCTCGATGTGGCTGAACTAAAAGGATCTTCGTTGTTGACCTTTGTTTGAAAAGAAATGTGTATATATGGTTATATAAATTATACCAACCAAAATATATATATGGTCAATAATGATCTTCAGTATTATGCACCTTTACTTATTTCAATTCTGAGAACACTGACACGTTAACCTTTGCATTTGGCCCAAAAGGGATAAGTATTTTAAAAAACTGTTCTATATGAGTAGTGATTATATCATTACTTACTAAAGCAACAGATCATACCAAAACAAGCCAACTCTGGATTAAAAGTTTTTCAAGCTTCAGGCAGTACAAAACCACCTGAGGTCCACTTTAAAGGGACTATATGTTTTTTCTCAAATGAGTATCTGATCCAAATGATAATCAAAGAAAAAAAGATACTGATTCCACACTTCCCAATGCACTTAAATATAGGAAAGATTTAATACTAATGACAAAGAAAATGGCATCTTGAAAAACATTAAAGACAAGGTGAAAGTCAATTTTTAAAAGCAAAATAATCCCATGGAATAAGTCTTTTTAAAAAATTTTATTTATTTTTTTAAAGATTTTATTTATCTGACAGAGAGATAGAGAGAGAGGACACAAGCAGGGAGAACAGCAGACAGAGGGAGAGAGAGAAGCAGGCTCCCCACTGAGCAGGGAGCCTAACACGGGACTCAATAACAAGACCCTGGGATCATGACGCCTAACCAACTGAGGCACCCCGGCGCCCCTAGAATAACAAGTCTTAATGTGGGTCTGAAGACTCTGCCTTTCTAATAATGAAAAATTCACTTTTCTATAATGTATCAGACATTGTGATTTTATTTATTTATTTTTAAAGATTTTATTTTTTAAGATTTTATTTATTTATTTGACAGAGAGAGAGAGAGAAAGAGTACAAGTAGGCAGAGTGGCAGGCAGAGGGAGAGGGAGAAGCAGGCTCTCTGCTGAGCAGGGAGCCAGACATGGGGCTCGATCCCAGGACGCCAGGATCATAACCTGAGCCGAAGGCAGCTGCTTAACCTACTGAGCCATCCAGGCGCCCCAGACATTGTGACTTTAGATCTCTTTAGGCCAGTGTTTCTCTACAGTACTACTTACATTGTGGGCTGGATGTAATCCTGTGTTGTGGGGAGCTGGATACTGTGTTGTAGGATGTTTAATAGCACCCCTGGTTTCTATATACTAGATATGAATAGTCCCCCTTCCCAGTTGTGACAACCAACCAAAAGTCTTTATTTATTTATTTATTTAAAGATTTTATTTATTTATTCATGAGAGACAGAGAGAGAGAGAGAGAGAGAGAGATGCAGAGGGAGGAGCAGGCTCCCAAGGAGCAGGGAGCCCAATGCGGAACTCGATCTCAGGACCCTGGGATCATGACCCGAGCCAAAGGCAGACACTTAAATATCTGAGCCACCCAGGCGCCCCAAAAATGTCTTTAGACAATGCCAAATAATTGAGGGTGAGGGTGGAGGGAAAATAACATCCAGCTGAGAACCGATGATATAGACAATTTCACATATACTCTAATTTTACTCTTTTGGCCTGAATCAATCCTACAGCTACACTGGAAAATAGATAGTGGATATATAGTGGAATACACATATGACTATGTGTATTCATTATCTTAATACTAACCCTAACTGGGGCGCCTGGGTGGCTCAGTGGGTTAAGCGTCTGCCTTCGGCTCAGGTCATGATCCCAGAGTCCTGGGATCGAGCCCCACATCAGGCTCCCTGCTCTGCGGAAAGCCTGCTTCTCCCTCTCCCACTCCCCCTGCTTGTGTTCCCTCTCTCTCTGTGTCTCTGTCAAATAAATAAATAAAATCTTAAAAAAAAAAATACTAACCCTAACAGCCTCAGAACACAAAATGAAGTAATCAATGCAGAGAAGATGGCATGAATGCCCAAATTTTACATCTATTGACCCAAACAGTCAACAGGGGATAAATTAGTTCAACTGGAAGAAATATATTTAAAGAGGCAGAAGATTCTTAAAATGAAGTTGTTGAGCTAACCTGTCAGTAGAAAATTATAATTACCTGTACCATCACCATAGTCCTTATGTATAGAAATATGTCTACTTGAATTACATCTATCATTTCTATCTGAAATCAACATTGAAATCAAGTTGAGATGTCTGTGACAGGGTTACATAATTGGAAGGAAGGATTCCTCCATTGGTGGAAACACAGTATATTTCACCTTCCCACTAATCACTGCAGATTACCTTTGACAATGTGCTGAAGTCAGCAAATCCATCTTCAAATGATTCACTTCCAAAAACAGAAGCAAAGGGATCTGTGGCTAAAATTAATAAAGAAAATCAATCCAATAGGCATCAAAATTTCATGTCCTTTTTTGGTTGGTAACATTTAGACAGATGAAAAAGATCTAATCCTAAATATCAGTTCCTGAATTTATGACTTAAATCCAGTGAACAAATTGATACCTACCCACCCCCCGACACACACACAATACACTCTTTTGTATAAATCAACTGATGAATTATTTCAGATGAAAAACAGGAAAACTAACTCTAGGTTTAAGGCTTTGGAATACAAGTCAAATAATATAGTTCCCATGCACTGAAATTATTTCTAATAAAGCTATCAGGAAGTAAGAGAAGGTAGATTCCATTAATTCCACATTTCACACTTGTCCTTCAGGGTGCATTTTAAATGTCACCTCATCCACTAAGCCTGGGAAAACCTCTAATTCCCGCAGCAGGCAGTGATTTCTTTCTTCTTTGTGGCACTGACTGCATTCTAGTTTGTACTATGGTTATCTGTGATTGATATATCACCATTATTAGATTGAAAAGTCCTTAAAAATAGTGAATAAGGCTTATCCAAAAAGAACGGCCAAAAACATTTCTTGAATATCAGATCTAAGAAAATAAGAAAATACAGTTCCTACCCCCCAAATCTCACAGTCTAATGAGATACATGTAAAAAACAATAATAAAACAATCTTAAATGAGCTATTAGAGAGGTATGAAAACGCCATAGTAGGAGTCATTAACTGGGAGGATCAGAAAAAGTATCAAAGAAACTATTACATTTGAGCTAGGTCTTTTAAATAAGGAACAGATCGAGGTGGGAAAGATAAAGACATTCCAGGCAGAGGGAACAGTATCTGCAAAAGTAATTCTTTAACCTGCTCCCAGGCATGAGAAGTTATCTGTTCCATCACACTGCACTTACCAAATGGATTAACATTTTTGGCTGGAATGAACGGATCTACTTTGAGATAGGTTTCACCTATTCAGGCATAAAGGCTACCAATAAAGCCAAAGAATGTTTATAGGAATTGTTACTTGATATAGGAAAACAGAAAGAAACAAAGGAAGGAAGGGAAAGAGAATTGCAAGAGACAGGTTAAGAAAGAGCAAAGAGGCACTGAAAATTTTTCCTTGTTCTCCCTCAAATCGTCATCTTTACATCAAATCGGTCTTAAAACAAAAGTGTGCCCACATACCCATTTAAATGTGTAAAGTGTGCCTTCACCTCTAGAAATCAGTACACCATGGACATAAACTGAAGAGGGGCAAGAAGGTATATGTTACTTTTGCTTGCTTTGTCATCAAGACAGTCATGAGGCAGAGGAAGCAGGTAAAGAGAGTGGGAAGAAGCATAAAGAAAATTAGCCCTTTAGAGATAGACCAACAACTCTGAGCCTGAAGAGGATGTTGAAAGTCCAGAGTTACAAGAAATTCTACAGCGTTAGGCATAAAAGATGCTTTTTTATAACTACATATCTAAGTCCCACAGCCTGGGGCCCAGCCTGGTCATGGGTGTTGTTTTAGGCTTTCCTTTCTTTCTCCTTCCTCTGTGCCTTGTAATTCCTGATGCCACAAGCAGCTGAGGCACAACCAGGGTGCAGATGCCCTCCTGACTGGTAGAAAGGTGATGAGGGAAAAGGAGTTGGCTCCTTTCACTGGAGGGAACTAAAAGATCTGCTTCATGCTTTTTCTCTGCCACAGCCTTTACAAGAAGTTATAACGCTCATGGCAACGGTGTTGAGTTAGGTCAAGTTTGACTGAAATGTTGTTAAGTATACACTGTGAAAGACATTAATAAAATACATGACATTTGTATATAAAGAATATGCTACTTATAGTTTTACCAGAGTTTTTCTACACTTCCTTCATCAGAAAAAAACGACCTATTCGGCATTGGTCCAAACACTGGGGAATGTGTCCTGGAAGAATGACAAAGGACTTTTGCCTAAATTGGGGAATTAAGACTTTGGCAACCACCTCCTCAGATATTGATCATGACTGATATGAAGTAGAGGCCTGTCCAGAGACTGGAAGGACTCACTGGGTATGAACTTTTCCAGACCATGTGCTGAGGATTCCCAGAAATATTTGGAGACGAATCAGTAGGTGGCTTTCTTCCTCTTGATCACACAGGAGCTATAGACCATCAGAATGAGGCTTTAAATGCAAATGTGATCTCACTGGCACCCTCTCCTCCCCAAGAATAAAGGCGATGAACACTTCGGAAAATTACATAAAAGCGTAATTTAAAAAATCATCTGTAATTTCATTATCAGAAATAACTCATCAATTATTTTAACATTCTTCTTTAACAGCTTTTTTTCCTGGTATTTTTTTCCTTTAAAGCTACATTTTAGGCGTATCATTTTTAATCCCCTTATCCCAATTTAATTCATACCATTCATCAGTACTTGACATATTACATATTTGTTTATTGCCTATCTTTCCCACATAAACCCTATGAAGACGAGAACTTCGCTTTGTTCACTACTGTATCTTCAAGGCCTAGAAAAAGGTCTGATAAATAGAAGATGCTCATATTCACTGAAAATACTGAGAAAAGGGGGACAGAAACTGTCTACTTATTAAGGATCTTCCAAACAGACACCATAATACTTCTTAGCATAACCAGCTGACCAACAAGGAATAAGGGAAACCAGTTTAAGGCTCACAGATAATAACCAAGAACAGGTATCTAACCAGAGAATCCTGGGAAAAGGAAGAAATTTTTTTTTCCATGACCCATGCACAAGTCATCAGATAATCAAGTTCAAACTCAGAAAACCTTTAAGAGATACTCATGAATAATCTGAGGTGTTGGTCATTAATACAGAATCCATTTTCTCAAGCTGGTCTCCAAATCATTCACTCACTCACTCACTGACCCACTCATCCACTCACATTTACTAAGCATCAAGGCTAGGTACTAGGAATTTAGAAGAGAATAAGACACAACACCCACCTTCAAGAAACTCATGGTTTGAGTGATACATATGTATACAACTGCTACACAGTAAGTATTAAAGTTCAAAGAGAGTAAAGGAAAAGCAACAGCTAGATTTATGTGAAAGAGGCCAAGAAGACTTTCCAAAAAGGGTTTTACTTTCCTCTGGACAGAAAGGAGGTGGGAGAAGAGAGAAACATATACACACTATACACAAATATACAAATACACACCTGCTCATGCACACACATTTTTCCAGGCAAAAAAATAAGTGGCCTTGAAGAGACAGTCATGGCCTGTATTTGTGGAAATAGAGAAAATTAGAGAAGAAACATGAAAGAAGGCAGAGGCTAAGAATAATAAAACATATGAACATCTGTATGCTTAGCCTGAGTCATTGCCTGTAAAAATAAAGACCTACGTGGCATTTTACTACCTCTAGAGTCAAAGATGCTCTGGGGAGGGGCGCCTGGGTGGCTCAGTTGGTTAAGCGACTGCCTTCGGCTCAGGTCATGATCCTGGAGTCCCGGGATCGAGTCCCGCATCGGGCTTCCTGCTCAGCAGGAAGTCTGTTCTCCCTCTGACCCTCCCCCATCTCATGCTCTCTGTCTCTCTCATTCTCTCTCTCAAATAAATAAATAAAATCTTTAAAAAAAAAAAAAAGATGCTCTGGGGAGACCACAGTTCCCCTCTAAATCCTCAGGATGTTATAAAGCTTTAATTAAGAGTTGGAAAGACTTTGCATTTCCTCAGTTAGGAGTTAGTAAAATACTCCATGCAAAAAATCTTCTGGCACCAGAACTAATCCCATCTATAATGAAGTGGAAAAAGAACTTTTACAAGACAAAATAAAGTATATGTAGAACCCGAGTAACCTGCATTTGCTTTCTTTAGTATTCTTTTAGTCTACAACGTGTCTACTCACAAGGAGTAAATGCTAAAAAGACCCCACTGTGAGTCAAAATATTAAAAATATCTGATGTCCTTCTATCTTTATCATAATCACTAAATTCTAGAAGTAGGGGTGATTTATCATTTAATTTTTAAGAACAAAAATTTACCCTTAGGTTTTTAGTTTATTTTGAAAGCTTCTATTTTTCCTGTTCTGTGGGATTAATCTTTTTTTCTGGCTAAACACTTTCTTTGTTGGTGAAAAAGAAGAGGGATATAGGAGTGTAAGTAAAGAGGACAAAAGTCCTGTTTGTGACCTTAGGTGTGTAATGCCACCTCTCTGAGTCTCACTGGTTTCCAGATGTTGGGGTTTTATTTTATTTTTTTGAAGATTTTATTTATTTATTTGAGAGAGAGAGAGAGAGCACGAGAGGGAAGAGGGTCAGAGGGAAAAGCAGGCTTCCCGCTGAGCAGGGAGCCCGACGCGGGACTCGATCCCGGGACTCTGAGATCACGACCTGAGCCGAAGGCAGCCGCCCGACCAACTGAGCCACCCAGGCGCCCGGGATTTTATTTTTAGTAAACTAAATAAATATATTAAAACCAACACACATAGAGAAAACAACAACATACAGAGATTTGCTTAACTTAAAAAGAACTTAAAAAAAAAGTCCATCTTTCATTTCACAAACAAAAGGATTTAAAAACTAAAAAGAAGAGAAAACAATCTTAGACTGGAAAGAATCCTTTCCAGGAAAAGAGAGTTGGCAACAACTCTCATTCTCATTTTCTCTCTCTCATCCCTATATGACTTGGAACTATCAAAGAGTATATTCCAAGTAACATTAGTCAGGATTTAGAAACCATTAAACTAAAAAATAGTAGTAATAATAGGAATAGCAGCTACCATTTACTGTGATAGGTACCACAATAAATACTTTAACATACATTATCTCATTTAATCTACCAAACAAACCCATGAAGTATAATTATTAACCTCATTTTATTGTTTAGGAAATGGAGACTAAGAAAACCTAAGGAATTAGCATTTTATCTGAGTAACTTCAGGCTGTTGGCTTCAAACACCCATGTCCTAATGATGACAACCCCCCCTTTAGGCTGTTTATGCTTCCATTCAATTCAAAATCTTACGATAATGTAGTAGATTTGAGACAAATCATTTATTCA